CATCCCCAAGTAGACACTCATCACCTCTAGGCCAACAGTCTGGGCCAACTGGATGGCAAGCTCAATCTCAAGGACAACGTCCTCAGCTAGATAAGTCAGCACTACAAGCCAATTTCATAGTTCTTTTAGGACCCAACCTCCTTTACCACTTAGTTCACAAGAACTTCAACCTCAATCTCATGGCAAACATTCACATACACAGAGACAAGAATTGCCAAGAAGACATCCATATGGTCGTTCCTCTCACTCACCAGATGGTCCACGGATGCCATCACTCAAAAAAACTAATCCCTTAACATGGTCTGCCGCTATATGTTGTGCTATTTTTGCACTTATTATAATTTTAGGGGGGTTAATTATTCTCGTTGTCTATTTAATATATCGTCCACAAAGTCCAGGATTCGACATCTCCAGCGTAACGTTGAATGCTGCATATCTTGACATGGGTTATCTCCTAAATGCTGATGTCACCGTCCTTGCAAACTTCACAAATCCAAATAAAAAGGTAGGCGTAGATTTTAGTTCTATGATTATTGATCTTTATTACGGACATACCCTCATCGCCAGCCAATACATCGAACCTTTCTCAGCACCAAAGGCTCGTTACCAGTTGAGAGATGTTCATTTGGTGAGTAGTCAAGTTCGACTTTCTTTAACAGAAAGCGAGAGACTTCAAAAACAAATAGAGAATAATTCTCTAAGGTTTCAAATCAAGGGAATATTTAAGGCACGATCTAATTTTGGTAATCTACTAGGTTACTCTTATTGGTTGCATGGTAATTGCGACATTATTGTCACAAGTCCTCCTACCGGGGTTTTAAGAAGAAGCAAGTGCACCATCAAACATTGATCATCTCAGTTGTAATTTGGAAACTTATGGTTAATTATTTTAATACAACTAAATAGGAAAGATTAATGTTTTTGCTTTGTAGTTGCGTTTAAATTTATCTTCTTTCTACTACTATTTTTTTTTTTTTTTTTTGTTAGAAGGTTGAAAATTTTATTGACAATCTCATAAATTAAGATTTGATTAGTTTTAAAAAAATTATTTTAAGAAGTGATTTTCTATAATATTTTTATTTATTTAAAGGTATCAATACTACCTTATTTTTATTTGCTATATTTTACAATCATTTTTTTTTTAATTTCTTATCTTTGTATTAACCATTATTTCTTATTATTTGATCCATACGATGTTGAAAATTAATGGTGATAAATGTTACTTAAGATAGCAACAGAAAACAACTAAACTAGTAATAAAATAAGGCTCAATATAACAAATATAATAAAATCTAAAGGTACTCTTAATAAATAGAAGTACTATAAAATTGCCCTGTTTAATTAGTTTCAGTTTTTTTTATTTTATTTTTCTGGTATTAGTGAAAAATTATAATGTGTTCATAGTACGTAACAAAATATATAAAATAATTAGATATGCTCTATTTTTACTTTAAAAATTATATTTCAGATTAAAAATTAAATCTAAAACATACTCGACAGCAAATTTTTAAATTGAAATTATTCGAAAATACGAATATTCTATATGTATCTACACCAAAACTGATTTTTGCTAATCAACTTATTGATCAATGGAGCGCGCGAACAAATTGAATAATATCTGTGTTAAAATTTTCTCACAAAATTTTAATAGAATTTTAAAAAAAATTCACATAAATTTTTCTTTTTCTTTTAGAACTTGATTGGATGATTTGCATAATAGTTCATTAATATTGGGTATGGTATGATATGTGTAAAGTTCATTAATATTTAAATTTAACCATATTTGGATGATGCCCTAGTAACAGCTATTTTTATTTGAATTAACAGTATAATATAGTTGTGTATTTGAGCACATTATGTAACGGCCCCGGAAAATATTAAAATGAAATGAGTATTTAAATATATCTAATGCGGAAGCGAGGTCAAATTTCATTTAATA